GTTTTTTCGCATTTGAAACAATGGGTGGCGCATCTATTGAATTATATCAGCATACAAACAATTTCGTATAATAAAAAAAAATAGTTTTACGACACGGGAATCCAAACCACGTATGCTATTGCTATGTGAAATTAATAGCCCTAATCTCTGCATTTAAGATGAAACATTTTGTTTTGTTGATGTGGAACAAAAAAATTTGTTCAAATCTTATATCTTGTACTAACTGATGTTTTTGCTTTCAGTCCCGAGACTATTAAAGCTTCATCTGACGCAGAACCGGTGGGCTAGCCAGAACCCACGGGTTTGTGTCCTCCGCTGTGGTGTTCAAATACTATTTAGAGCTGCACTATAATTCCTTTTGAAGTTATCATCCCGCATCGGCCGTCGATTGCAATCGGAGTTACGTGTCTATCGATTATTTTATTAGTTTGATAAATGGAGTGTACATATAAATGCTTGACCTCAATAACTGCGTCGGTGCCGTATGCACTTTTGTCTCGCAACAATATTTAGTGTCAAGTTTTGTTAAATAGTTTTTAAAGAAAACTTTTATCAATCAGCGAAATATTACGAGTAGTCTCAAAGGAGTTAAATATTAAGAGGCAATTAATACTAATGAATTATTTAAAGAGTGAATGGTTGTATTCAATAAAATTCTGAGATCATTTGACATTTGAAAAATATAAATACCATTTTATTAATAAGCTACGAGGAAAATACAAGAGTGTACGCCACATACCACTCATTAATTTTACACAATATATAAAAACCATTTCATTAATAAACTACGAGTCCTAAACGGATTATCGTGACCGTCTCGTAAAAAAAAAGAACGTCCACGAAAATTCTTTTTTCAAATAGTTTTTTGTTAAAATAGCAAAATTAAATTTTTTCTTACAGATACATGTGATCGATTATTTAAACTGTTTTCTTATAATACATTTACCGTTATACCTATTGCCGTTAGAGTATACTACAGTAATAGTACAGTAAACTGCTTGAATTTTACGTGTCGAGACGAGAGCACAACAAAAAAAGAAGTGCTGTTTAAAAAACTTACCTCTAAGAAATAAATCTTCACATATGAACATTCTGGAGCATTAAGATTTTCTGGAGATTAAGATCATTACATATAATGTATTCATATTCATTCTCATGTAATGAATTTAGATTTTCGTATATTAAATATATACGAAAATCTAGACAACTATTGGCATTGACGCGTTGCGATTTTTTGCGACGAGAAATTTGTATAATTGTCTGTGGTAAGAACTTGGGAAGTCATCGCCCGTCAATCTCCGATGATTAGGGCCCTAATTGCCTCACACTTGCCCTTACTAAGGAACCTAACTGAGTAAGAGCCCTAATTATTGTATAGTCTAATCGCTCCTAAGTTTATACAACGTCATCCATGGAAATGTAATAGGCACTAAATATACAGACGATAGTGTTTAAAGATAAATCTACGAGTACAAATTGCGAAAACGTAATATAGTACACGCTCAGTTCCAATACAACTTCGATTCGAATGTGTGAACGGCTTAATTTTTTTTTTATTTTAACGAACAACAAACGAACGAGGTTTTCTTCTTTGTCTCCAGCCTTATCTTAATCGGCTTATTGATGTAACGCTTAAAATAACGAGGTCGTTGCCCTAGTCGATACTTCTTAGAAGACTGTAGCTATTTGTGAGGACGGCATTAGTAAAATGTCCATTCTATAATATTTATTTATATTGATAGATTACGCGTTACGGTACTAAATGTCCGAAGTCAGTGATTGCAAAACTTGATTCAAGAGAACTCATCTGTATACGGAACACCGAGGAACTAAGATTCTTTAACATTAATAAGAATAATTTTTTGTATTCACACTAAAGATGACGAAATAAATCTATTTTACGGATTATAGCGGTTTTTATTTAGAGTTTTATAATCCCGATATAGTGTTCGAAATATCGGGAATATATTTTACAGATGCGTTGGCCACTTTTTTAAAAGGTGGCGACGTAACTATAACCATACAGGTGTTGCAAATGTCAATGGGCGGCGGTTATTACTTAACATCGGGTGAATCGCCTGCTCGATTAACACCTTGTCACATTAAAAGAAATCATTATAAACCGAGCTGTTCTACGCCATAATATTCAAGTTAACAGAACCGCCCATTTTTTGTTTATTTATTTTATTACTATCAACGCAAAATGTGGTTTGAAATATCATCAATTAAAGCACACCAACACTGCAAGTTCTAATGAAAAGCGACAAATTCCGTAAAACAGAATATTTGCCAGGGAAATGAGACATACGCGACTGCTGGGCAAATGCACTAAGAATCTCAAGGCTTAGTCTGCCACGAATTCTTAGATTTTTTATTGTTTCTTCATTATTTATGAATTTAACAATTTTTTTTTAATACCGAGCATACGGTAAATGATACCCGAAAATTACACTAAGAATTAACTAATAACTATATTAGTATCTGTACTAACAGAGAGTACAATAAAATACAGGAATCAAAACTTTGAGTCCATTAGTTTGACAAGGAATATGTACTAGGTATATATGTAAGCAATCTAACCACGAAGCCGTAAAGTCTCTAACCAGAGTGTAAGCTCAGCCCTAATCACCTTTAATCCATTGTCAAGAAGGAATGCAACAAGTCAACGTACCGACCTAAGGTCACGAGCAAATGTTTCAGGATTAAGTCGCTGACAATACTAATAACGAGACAGAAATGCTGAAGAAAAAGAGGCTTTAATAACAATGAATAAAAGATACAAAAATAAAATAAAAAGGAAACATAGACAAACAAAGCGATGGCGATAATTGTCGGCTAAGGAGCGAGATAAAAGGTGTCATAATTAACAAGAATTTGGTTTAGCACCTTCCATCTACTTTTCAGCATGACAAGGGTTGGCTGGTAGAGAATACCATTATGCATTAGGTCCGCCTGTTGTAGCCTTTAGCCTAAGGTGTAACAAAAAGTATAAATGAATAAATAAAATTTGACGCTTCAGGCCAGATAAAAGTGGTGGGTAATTGCTTGTTCACCGCTTAGATATATACTGCATGGGCAACAACTTCTTGAAAAAAAAAAAACATGTAATTAGAAAAGAGTTTAGCTATAATAAATTGAGTTGATTTGAGTGATTGAGAACAGTTGAGTGTATGTCGGCCTGAAATACAGTCAACTGTTTCAATGTTTCTTACAATCATGTGTCAAATTCCGGTTTCAAATGACATTGGAATAGGCCATTTGACAGCTGATTAATTAATGATCAGTGACCCAAAAACCGGGCGTTAGTGTGTTACAGTGTTGTCAGTGATCATCTCTAAAAAAAAATTATCAGCCTAAACATGTCTCACTGCTGGGCAAAGGCCTCCTCTGTATAGGGGGTACTACGCCGTAGTCCACCACGAGGCCCCACGTTGCACACTAATCTATACACGGTGGAGATAGAACATGACGGAGAGCGATTTGGATAGGGGTGCGAGCGAGAGGGGAGGGTATATTATTCACCGTAGTCGTGCATGTACTTCCCGGGTCAATCAGCAGTATTAAGCCTGTACTGCGCAATGAATTAATTAACATCAGAGGCGCGTTCAATCTGAGCCCCCCCCCCCCCCCCCCCCACACACACAGCGATCCGCATCCGCGTTAATGCGATTTCATTAATTGCATGCGTTACCAACGCCCTATAGACCGGAGATCCTTGAACGACCATTTCCTTCACTCGGATTGTCGCATTAGCAATTTCGAATGAATGCGTAGTATACGTGGGTGCTGGACGCGTTATTTGGTGGGCTGTGCAAAAAAAATAAAAGGGTTGTATTGCTGTGTCATTATAAAATCTAAAGTATGTTCACGGGAAAGGGTTATAGTGGATCACGGTATATATTGCGGCGCAGCTGGAGTTTATCGAACAGATTCTAGAGTGTGAAAATCAAGTCCCATCCACAATCAAGGAACGATCTGGCATTGTGCGGTACGTGAAATATCTATTTACAAGTATACGTTCATACCTAATCATAATACTTGTTAAGTAACGGTCTATATAATTATGTAAATCCAAAAGCTGGAGAAGGATTTCGCGATTCAGTGTGAGAACATAGTAAGTAAACATGCCCAGTGCAGATTGGCGAAATTAACATCTGTTAAACACGATTTATAGTATTTACCAATCATGCTTGGATCAGCGTTCTCGATAAATTAATAATAATATTAAAATCTTTTCAATTAAACCAGCAATTTTTTATTACCGGTTCATCGGTAAAAAAAAATTGCTGGAACAATTCGAGTCTGGTCTGTGAAGGAAAATTGTGACGAAATCTGCATCTTTTCAAAATTATAACAAAACAAACAAATAAGGTGGGTTCGCGTAGCCAATGCCATAATAACCTTAGTAAAGAGCTCTACACTAAGGGATATATAGGTGTTGTTTTGCTATTTTGTACTTAAGCTCGGCGACATGTGGACTGCACGCTTTGTCCCCGTCAACTTACGTCAAAAGGTAATCACTTCTATTACGATTCACTCAATTAATAATCGCGAAGCAACTCAAGACAAAGTGTTACGCCCCTAACTCAAAAACTACACACAACCGAACAGTTTATATGGTTTTAGGTGTTGCCACAATAAACCAATAGAAATACTCGAAATCAGTGTCGCTTCAATAAAATATTACTAACCTAATTATTGTGTGTGCTCCCAAATACGGTTATTATTGAAGTATTTGAAATTGCGCGTCGTGGGTATGCGCAGTTGCCAAGATTACCACACGGGACAACTATTTGTGTGACCCACAGATACTTGTTTCGCATCGTGGTGTTTGTTCGCGTGAGATTTATGTTTGTAAAGCGTCCTTATCACACAGGATAATATTACCTTAAAGTTTGCGCAACGTAAAAACAACACTCGTAAAACCGAACGTGGTGTACAAGTCTCGGGTGTTGTAGAGCGCACAAGTCTCGCGTTTTGAAGAGGTGGGCGGCACTCACCTAGCGGGTGCATGTTCTCGTGGCAGACGGGGCAGTTGACGGGGACCCTCGCCTCGTAGATCTCGATCGCGAGGTAGGTGCGGAGGCAGGGCTCGCAGCAGCGGTGGGAGCACCACGCCAGACGCACCATCCCCGCCGCACCGAAAGTGGACAGGCAGAGCGGACACTCGAGCACCTCGCCCTGGACGGGAAGGTGACCAGGTGAAAACGTGCAGTACGAAAAAAAATACCGCCCAAGCGCGAGTCGTTCTCGCGCACAAAGGGTTCCGTAGCATTATCTAAAAAATAGCAAAGGAATCATGTCTGTTAGTTAGACCGACACTTAGATGCGTATTCTTCTGTTTTTTAGTATAACTATCACGGTTCAAGAGATACAGCCTGGTCACAGACGGACAGATAGACAGACAGTGTAGTCCTAGTAATAGGGTCCCGTTTTACCCCTTGAGTACGGAACCCTAAAAATCATTCATTCATCAAAATAAGAAACATATATTCCATCTATCGACAGTCATTTTTAAAATCTACCACTGTTTCGCACTAACGGAGAAGAAATACTCGAAAACAGACAGAAACACCGTAGGTATCCTTTGTTTTGTTATTTTTTCCTAAAAACATTAACATTAATCAAATTAAAATATTTAACATACTTTTTTAGAAAAAGCTTGGGAGCGGTCAACTCATTCCCAAGGGTTATTATCATTAATGTATTCATTTACATTATAATAAGCCCCTTGATAAACTTTTTCTTTAATAAATTTCTTAACCCTTATGATAGCCGTGGTTAATAACGACCTCACAGAAGACCGGCGTGAAGTGGAAATATTATCATACTTTCGCGTTTCGTCTGGCGAGTGAGGTAGCCGGGGCCCACTTCTTAAAAAGTTTTCAATGCATTTGCAAGCCATTGGATGTTATAGATGACCATGGGCGGCGGAATCTTAACATCGTGTGAACCGTCTTGCTTGTTCTAGCTTGACAGCTTTTCACATACAAAAATATGTCGCAACAACAGCTGGAGGAAATTCTGGGCTAAAAAGATTACGCGATGTTACGTGGTCGTTTGGTTCCCGCAGTTTTGATTTGAGGTGTTCTTAAACACGGAAACCGTCTTATTACCGCGAATGGAGTATTGAATAAGTAAGCATATTTCCGTTTGAAAATATTTAAACGATTCGGTGAATAAACAAAGCTATTGGTGTCATTGAAAGGTTATTTGTTTTCCAGCAATGCATTGTGAATTTATCGCTCGGATAAAAGGCACGGAGAAAGAATTTGCGTATCATAGCCACATTGTTAACTGAAAAACAATGAAGTGAAATAGTGCTACTTTATGGATTTTAACGCGTTAAATTTAAGAACTTTAATGAATTGAACGTTACGAATCCGTTAATTGGTTTAATTATTCAATATGATAATATAAAAGAAGAAGACGAAACCTCTAACAGTCCTCCAAAACTTCCTTTAATAATATTCTTGAGAAAAAAAATTAAAGAGCAAATCACGAAATAAAATCGGCGAGACGGTTGATTTAAATTTTAAACTACACGAAGTGAGAAAAATTACCATATAAAAAAGAGAGGTCAACGTCAGCATGGCCTACAGGTTACAGCTCAACGTCTTAGCGTCACTGAAAACATTGCTCTAGGGATGTCGAAAAAATGTCAATATATCGATATTTCACATATCGATACAAAATATTCAATATTGAAATCGTATCAAAAACTATATTTCTTTAAATTCGAATCCGGCGCAGTCTGTAAAAGTCAAATATTTAATACATGACATACCGATTTTTGGTCAACGGGGCCTAAAGAGAAAATATATCGATATATTTTCTTCGATATATCCAGGCCGATATTGATATTTTTATAAATATCGATACATCGAAATATTTCTTCAAATTCGACATCTCTACTGCCCCAGTTTCCTTATGAAAAGACCGCTAACCGTAGCCGCGAGAGAAATAAAAGAGAACTGTTACTACTCCAAACAAAATTTCATCCATTAGAGAAGCATGAAAACTATTAAATTCAGTGGTTAAACCACAAAGATGACAACAATACAAAATCATTCAACAGGTTTTATCTAGTCTAAAACGCTTGTTTCAATTAATAAAAAAATAACCAATTGATTTTCAGTTGCCTCAAATATTGCCTAAAGTTCGTACAACAAGATAAAAATTATCGTTTTATCGTAATGGAAGTCATAAAGTAACAGCCATGTATAATGTCGCAATGCTGGGCAAAGGCCTCCTCTATACAGAGGATATCAGGGCATAGTCCACCACGCGGCCCCACTGCGGATTTGCGGACTTATGGTTTTAAGTCATCACTTAAACTTAACAATTTCATTGGTGCCGGGGGATCGAACTCAGGTTGCTGGAGTATATAAAATTTAAGGCTCCGTCTAGTCATAAGGTGGAAGCCTTTTTTATGATTCTTTAGTAGTGAACTTCAAGAATGAATAAAGATTTTTATTTGTTAGTAGTCGTTTCTTGAGTCTTGTGTTGGGTAAGTTCATGCTGTTAGTCCGAAGAATACAAAGGTCGGTCACAGTGACCGTGGAGTGTTTCGAGAACTTGTAGTTGAAGACACATATTCGAAAATTCACAGATAAAGTGCGTACACCAATACCTTCATCTTCGAATGCTCTCTCTCTCTGACCTCACAGTGTTAGCAAGCGCAAACAGTCGGTTCACCTGATGTGAAGTGATCTACAACACCTGACTGATTGCAGAAATGTTGCCAAAAATTAGCATCTGCGCCACTGAGTCATCATTCGTTTTTTTTAATGTGAAAAGTTGACAAACAAGCAGGCGGTTTAACTGATGTTAAGTGAATATCGCCGCACATGGACATCTGCTACACTCCAGTGTTACAGATGCGTTGACAACCATTTTAAAATTGGGCTCCGGCTACCTCACTCACCAGACGAAACGCGAAAGTATTTGTCATACTTCCACTTTACGCCGGTCTTCTGTGAGGTCGTGGTACTTACCCGGACGAGCCAGCCCATTTGCGCAACAGCCTAGGCTGCTGCGTGGCCCTATCACAGCTCGTACTGTTAGGATGACGACTAATTCCTTTTTTAAATACAGTGCTCAAATAAAACCTATCTAAATTCCGCTGTACAAAATAGACGTTTTCTTGACCAACAGGTGTGGACGCGAAATGGCTGTAACTTTATTTGATGTAGGAGTTCACTAGCATTTTCTTGTTCACAATTCGATTACGAACCGAAATTACGCCGCACCTGAATCCCACCCAACCGTTCAAATAAAGCACGACGTAGCATCGTACTGAATCGATCGGTTCAGCTAAAAGCAGCCTGTAGAAGTAACCGAAACGAATAATGTATTAATAAAGAACGCCCACCGGCTAGATGAGGCGTGAATTTTATTGTTTTCTTTTAAGGGACGAAGGACAAACGCACACGGGTCGTCTGATGTTAGTGATCTCCGCTGAGGAACTTTGCAACATCGCAGGAGTTATAAAACGATGCCTGAAATTATAGTGTAGAGTAAGGTTGAGTACATTACAGGGTTGAATTAAATCATTAGTGTTTATTATGTTTAATACCGACTTTATTAATTTTATTTAGTCTTATTTTGCAGAAATTACTGTTATACGTTAAGAAGACCTCATTTATGAATTGTATATTCTATCACAGAATAATATTAAAATTAAAATGTCGACTGTGGGATAAACAGAGCATAAATTTTTACGAAACGGTTAAAATCACGGCCAGTATGTGAATATAGCAAAGAGAAAATTATCACAATTTGAATTTATAATTTGTATTTCTAAAAAAATGCACCTAGTTCCTGCCGTACTGAATTAATTTATAGGGTTCCGTACTCACGGGGTAAAACCCTATTACTAAGACCCTACTACTAAGACTCCGCTGTCTGTCTGTCCATCTGTCACCAGGCAGTATCTCATGAACCGTGATAGACAGTTGAACTTTTCATAGATTATGTATTTCTGTTGCTTGTTGTATAACACAACAAATGCAAAAAAAAAAATATATTTAAGTGGGTCCCCTATACAACATACACGACACGGGACAGCTATTTGTGTGAGCCACAGATAATTGTTTCGCATCGGGGTGTTTGTCCGCGTGAAATTTATGTATGTAAAATGTCCTTACAGCACGGGATAATGTTAATCCTACAGTGAAGGGGCGATGTTTTCGAAGGGAAGCCTACAATAGATCGTCTAGGTCGCATTGGTCGTTACACTTACTCTCCGACTCAGTCCGAACAAACTACAAATACAAATGATGAATCTAGATATATCTGAGTTGAAAACGCAAAAGAGTTTGGTTGACTTTTTGGGTGCCAGTTCATGCTCTCTCTTTCTCTCCCCTCTCGCTTCTCCATTTCGTTCCGTTAGATGATGAAAACCAAATTAGTGTACACTTCGAAATATAGCTATAACCAGATATTTATATTAAACTCCAATTCGAATTGATAGCCGCTATATCGCAAAAGGGAAATTCATCAATATTTCAGCGTTGTGATGGTTATTCCTGGAACAGGTTACGCGATAATTAGGACATCCGCCCGGGATGTCCTGGATCGACCTAGTTTCGAGATTGCCCGATGCAGCGAGTTTGTGTTTTGAGCGAATTTAATTAGTTCGTCGATTTCAATTGATCAATAGTACTCGCCACTCCCAGTTTTATCTTTACAATAATGACTTGCTATAATCACTCGAATACTTAACATTATCCAATATAGGATATTTTATAGATATACAGTGTGTTATTTCGATGTAGACATAGATGCGAAGTAAATATCTTAAAAAAAAATTTATTGTCGCATTTTTAACACATCCAGACAAAGAAACAGAATTCGCGGCTCGTAATTCAAGTGCCCTCTGTCAACATTAACACTTATTGCTTTAAAAATTGTAGACAAAAAGAATGAAGTTTCTCGCCGCTGCGGGCATCGAACCCAAGTCTTCCGGATTCGCGCCCAGATGCTTTAACCACTAAGCGTAACGGCTGATTGCCACACCGACGAAAATATACACGTCTTTTGTGAAGTGTTTTTCAAGCGTTTCAAGCAATACATTTTTCGTCCTTTTTTCTACAAATTTTAATATTTCATTTTAAGTGCAGAGCTTACCACTGTAAATATCACTTGTCTCCGTTTCATTCAAAAATTGCGTACAAGAA